ATTTTTTCCTTATCACTCCTGTCCCTTTTTTTTTTTTTATTTTCTTTTTCTGTTTTCTTAATATTTCTTATTGCGTTAATTTTCTTTTTCTTCGTCATCGTTTTTTTCTTTTTTTATCTTTTCTCAAAAATATATATATATATATATATATACATGTATATATATTATCGATTACTACTTGTTAGGCTTCCGACGAACGGGGAAAATCGCGTTGTCTTTTTTTTTTACTCAATTTTTCCTTTCATTTCTAATTTTTTTTTTTCCACCTCCTTTTCATATACCAATAATTCCGAAATAAATTCTTTTTATTTCTTTTTTTTTTAATTTTATTTGACATTTTCTTCCTATTTTATTTATTTCCCCATTATAATTTTTTTATTTTATTTTATTTTTTTTTTTCATTATATACGCGTAACCCTAGCATATTATGACCTATATGTATGTATGCATGTATATATCATATACCTTTTTCGTTAAATCCTAGGTATAATGAGACCCTCATATGATCCATATTGAAAAATTTTAATTCTTTCTTTTTTTTTTCTTTTTATCTTTTTAATTTTTTTTCTTTTTCAAATATTAATAATCTGTTCGCTGTGTATGCACACGTGTGCGAGTGGTATTTTTTTTTCTGATGCGTAATGAAACATTATTAGAGAGAACAATAATCTTCTTGTCGTTATTTACACATAGATCATAACAAATGTTGTTTAATCGAAATAAATGCACAAATAATATATGTAACATAATATGCATGTGTCTGTGTTAATGCATACATATACATATACATATATATATATATATATAAACATATGATTTAAACGTACAAGTCGCGCTCACAAATGTTAACAGGATATATAATATCATATATCGCAAATAAAAACGATCCAATTTTTACTATCATATTTTTATCTCAATATTTAATATTTCAAATCAACACCTCGCATGATTCATAAATCATATTCATACTTAAATATTTTTTTTTTTTGGTTCATTCCTTTTCTTTACTCTTAACCGTTTGAGTGCGACAATCGTTTGTTCTATGCCAAAAATGCGAAGAAGCGGTCATGAAATTTGTGCAACAAAACACACTCATGTAATAAATGAAAATAAAAAAGATTTTATTTAGTAAAAATTACTTTTCTTTTTTTTAATAATAATAATTAGAGTTTAATTATAACCATTTATATTATTATTTAAAAAAAAAAAATAATTATGCATTTCATTCCGCAATTTTAGCATATGCATACAAAAATTCTCCTGCACTCAAACAGTTAATATTATCTTTAACTTTTTCTTTTCTAACTAAATTTACATTCTCTCTTTCTCTTTCTCTCTCTTTCTCTCTCTTTCTCATTCTTTCAATTTTATCAACTAAAAACGTTATTTAACCCTTAGAGTGTTATGAACGCATATACGTGTTGTGTTAATATTAATGTAAAATAATGTTATATGTTTATATTAATTAATTCAATTATATTTATACAAAGTTAAATTATTACAATTTAATTTATTATTATTAAAATCTAGTTAACACGTTTCGTGTCAAGCCCTTTTTACCTGACTTCTCATTAAGGTCATTTAATTTGGCTTTAACAAAATCAACCATTAAATGTAATTATTACTTATTGTTAATATAACAATTAAACAAACTTATGTGCTTTATTGTATCAATAATTTAATAGAAATATTTTTTTACACAATATAAATTTGTTATAAACATATATATTCAATGCATAAAATGATAATTGTACCACTGGTGATACACGTGGCCTGAAGAACAAGTTTAACGTGTACCACTGGTGGTACATGTGGCATGGAACGTGTTAATAATAAATTAATTCATTCATACAAAACATTTTAGTTAAAAGTATTCACCACTCAAAGGGTTAAAACGCTATTGTCTTTTTCAAAGATATCACTACGTCATTCAAAGACGTTGATCACTTGAAACGTCATCATCATCATCATCATAATCATAATAATAATCATATTTTATCATTGTCTTTTGACCTTTTCATTGTCTTTGACATATTTTCAAACAAAACCAAAAAAAAAATAAATTACGTTTATGATGAGAGAGAGAGAGAGCTACGACATGTACAAAATATTTGTCATGAATTTGTCCTGGGTTGAGGAGGGAGGGTTGTGTTGGGTGTAAATGTATCGAGGAAAAGGAAAGGGAAAAAAGAGGATGGGTATGCGATGGATAGCTCGAATGGGGTAAATGGGTGGAAGTGGAGAAGATAGGAGAAGGGGTGTGTGGGGGTTGGTAAATTCAGCCTTTTATCTGTTACAGGCAGTCAGAGGAACGGCGATTATGATTCGAAAGCTCGCGTAAACCTCTTACAGTCGCTAAATTTATGGAACGTTACGTGTCCCATAAAATCCTCCGCCTTCGTTCCCATATATTCCCTATGGCAATGCCATTTCTCTAGGCTTTTAAAACGTCGACGCGTTTTCAATCTTCAAACGTTCTCTCTCTCTCTCTCTCTCTCTCGTTTTCTCGTTTTCTCGACAACTTTATACTACCACCATAATATAAAACATAAAATATCAAAAGAAGAAGAAGAAGAAAAAAAAATGGAAACAATCGATTTTACGATTTATTTTTTCTTTTTTTTTTTTAACAATTGTATTCGTATATTGTAAAATAAATCATTTTTAATTTTCCTTTTTTTTTTTTGGAGAGGAAGGGGTTGGTTAAGCTCAGGAAGGGATTTTCTTGACCAACATTTATCTTTTTCAAGATAAAAAAAAAATAAAATTACTGAATCGTAAAATCGTTTTTGTTCTTCTTTTTTTTTTTTTAATTCTTCATGCAACATTTGTTGTCGAAGGCGAAGTAATTTACAAGACACTAAATTAGAAAATATAATAATTCGTGAAATAATATATACACATATATAATATATATTATAATAAGTATTATTAAGTATACATATATATATGTAAATTTGTATTATATTGACTTTAAAATCGGCAGTGAAAACCGTTTCGTGGATTTCTTTTTTCTTTTTCTTTTTATTCTTCTTCTTCGTTACTATTTTTTTTCTCCTAACGACTGTACGCGATTTAATAATTCATTTATTCAACGTTATTGCATAACGTTTATCAATTCTTGAGAGAGACAATCGAATTATTTGTGCAGTGTTATATTTAAAATTAATAATAATAATAATAATATTAATGATAATAATAATTAATTAATAATATTTAAAAAATATATATAAAAAGAGAGAGACGTTTCGTAATATTTAATATACAAATACGCTTATTACAATTCACTAGCTAGTTCGTGTTTGGGGAAATAAATAATTATAAACGTAATTATTATTAATAATTAATTAATAAATTGTCTTTGTGAAAGTTCGTAGAGTATTAATTAATCTAATAAGATCGTAGTATTTCTTAAGTAATAACATTATATTTTTTTTCGAACTTTCAATGAAATCGTCGTTGCTCATTTTCTTTTAATTTATCATCTATGTATATAACACGTACAAGCGTATTATCGTCGAATAAGCACACGTTGCTTTAAAAAAAAAAAAAAAAAGAAAAAAACGCATTTATAAATCTGATATAACATACGCACATTTGTTATTTTCAAATGAAACATTATTATTATTTTTATTATCAATCCATTACGATCTATCATTTATTTATTTATTTATTTATTTATTTATTTATTCTTTTAATTAATGTAAAATATTAAATCGATTCAATTAGCGAATAATTTGTATTTAATATTTGTTCAAATTTTTCTCATCAAACTATAGATACTTATCGAGATAAGTTTTTTATTTATTATTATCATAAAAAATACGATAGATCGTAAAGGTTCGCATTTTCGTTTTAATGTGTCACTCATAAAACCAAATAAAAAGTAACATTAAGAAAGGGTTTTGAGAGGTGAATTGGGGTTGGTTGAGGGAAGGAAGGGGGTAGGAGGAGAAGGGACCTAAGATGACGAGTCTCAAGATACCCATACGTGCGAAAAAAATACAGAAACAAAATCCCTAGGCCGACCTCTGTCAAAACCGAAGAGACAAAAAAAATGATTTGATATTGATTTGTTGTTTTTTGTTTTATTGTTAATACAATATCGAATCGATTAAAAATGTTTCTCTTGCATATTGTGGAGCAATCGTATGTATAGCAAAATTCTTGAACGTTGTAATAAAACATAAATTTGATCAATGTCGATGATCGTTTAACATTGAAACAAACGATCGTCGAGATCGAATATGAAATTAATTATTTTCTATTACTATACTCGGAGAAGATAAAGGATTTATATTATGATGTTTACACACACACACATTCATAAACGTATGCATGCATTCAACACACACGAACAAACATACATATTAACATCCACCCACTCTCAAACTCATAAACACACACCCACCCACACATAGAACGATAAACCGCGTGTTCAGTTTTCTCGGTCATCGATCGATAACTCGCCTAAGTTCGATGATGAAATCGACGATTATAAAGCACGAACGATTTTCATGATATGCAAATGCAACTATTCTAATCGTCCACGCAAAAAATGTGTCTTTTTTTTTGTTTTTACGAACGTCTCTTCGTTTTGCAAACAATGTTTCAACGAAGACAAAATCGTGGTTTTATTTTCTCGATCGTCGTCAAAATGTTAAACACGCCCATAAACGTCTTCTTATTATTTACACGTAAGCCACAGATTTAACCACCGATAATTGTCCTCCACCCCCAACACTCCTCATCATGAGGTAGAGAAGGATGAGGAGGAGGAGGTAGAAGAGTATACGTAGAACAAATGATTTTTCTTTTGTTTGTTTGTTTGTTAGTCAAGTTTCTTGTCACATTATCAATAATATATGTCCCGTCACGCAATAGCATCACTACGCACACAATCCACGAGAATGAAAGTAAAAAAGGAACACGCGAATCAGAAGCAAAATGTCATCATCATCATCATCATCATCGTCATTATCATCATTGTTGGTTGCTTCGTTTGTTGTTGCTGTCAGTGAATCATCATCATCATCATCATCATCATCATCATCATCATCATCATCATCATCATCGGCATCATGATTATCATTATCATCCTCACAGAATATGAAATAAGTTTTAGGATGTTTTGATCTCTTCGCGATTGCGTTTGCGTTAGCGTTAGCGTTATTGATAGGCCTAAAGTCTAGTGCTTCTTTCAGTGACGGGCAAATTGGTTTCGTCCCTAGGTACGGCACGATATTTACCGCGTACCGAGCTGGGGCCGAAAATTGGTGAGCCTCAGACAAGATGGCCGTCAATGTCGGAATAGGCCGGTGTCGGTGTGAACGTCGATAACGGGTGACCATGATTGTGGGCACCGTTGTTGTTCGCACGTGCAAAAGTAGCCGGTGGTGGTGGTACGGTGGGTGGTATCAGTGATTTTGTACCCGCCGTCATCACGGTAACATCCGGGGGTGGTACAGGTCGCGGTAGAGTTCTCGAACGAGTCAACGTACCCGTTCCACCAGCGTTCATGCTCGCATGGGGCACCCCCGTGTGTTGTCCTGTGATTGGCATGGATGGGTAATACGTGCCCGAGCCCGGATCTCCCATTGTTGGTGCCGGGCTCGAATTCGGCTCATATCCCATATAACGGCCGTTGTCCATTTCCACACTGTAGAAGCTTACGTCGTTGGGCGGTGCAGGACTTGGATTCCCGATGTAACTCGACTTCGAAACTGTAATTTAAATCATATTTTACACGATCTGATAAATATATATGTTGCAGGGAGATCATCAAAATGAACATTCCATCAAATCCCCTTTAAAGTATCATCGATTCATGGAAGATGTTAAAATAACAATTCTACTGAGTGATTTATCTAAAGAAAGTCAATTCTAGTTACTTAAAGATAATACAACTAGTCAACTAGTTCTAAATACTTAAAGAAAGTAAATCTTTCATTAGAACAATTAAAGAATTCTATCAAATCACTTACTTTCTAAAAAATCACTCTACAAAGTTGTTATTTTAACATATTCCGTGAATTGATTAGATCAAACTTATAGATTCGATGAAATCTCAATTTTCATCATATCCCTGCGACATATATACTTTACACCATATTGAAACTTTTCCGTTCAGGGAGATTGCATGATCGATGATCGCAAAGCTTATGATCTGAGAGGGGTGAGGGCAAGGGTTATCATAATCAATTTATGATATGTAATCGTTGATGTATGTTGGAAGCAAACTAGTGCAACCCAAAGATCACGTTAACTTTCTTTTTTAGGGGTATAATATTCATGGGGTATGATTTAAGCTCTGCCAAGCGATCTCTTTGACCTAATAATAATAATAATAATAATAATAATAATAATAATAATATTACTGACGCCTCTGCCAAGGTGCGTGCCAATGTGCGTTTCTCGTTCTGCTTGTATATCGTACGCATTAATATTATAATAATTAATAATAATAATAGCATGTACGAAACGCATGCGGAAGAACAAAAACCTCGCAAGCATAAGTCAACTCGCGTGCCTCCTCTCTCTTCATTTCAACTATTTATTACTATATCTTTTTATTTAATTTTTTTTTTTTTTGTTTACTGTATGTATGCTTCCTATTATATATATATGTATATATATAAGTAACAATATGAATACTAATTAAAGCAAGCTGCTCGAAATAATTTCATGCGAACGTATGAGATGATGATACGCGTATGCTTTTGATAATGAATGTGATATATAAATATATCATATTAATGTAAAATTGAAATAATGATTCTTGCTGAAATAATTATCAATCGAAGATGATAAAAAAAAGAAAAAAAAAATCCACATACGGGATGATATGAGGAAGGTTCTTGTTTGTTACCTGATCAGATTCACCGACTTTTCAATTTATTTTCATATATAAAATTGATATCTTGATCAATTAAAATACTTATTGTTTTCAAACGATTAACCCCCCACGTGTGGATAAATCTGATCAGAGATTAACGAGAAGACACCAAGAGCGATTAACTTGAGAGGTTTTAGCACCTATGCAGAGTGTCGAGACGAGTAGCAGTTGTAGGTGACGCACCCGAGAGAGTCCCACTTGCTGTAGTTCTTTGAGGTGGAGAATCCATACTCATTATTGGTACGTGGTTACCTCGACGACCGAGAGTTCCTTGATGATGTACCTGCATCTCTAAACTACCCTTCCCATAATCCTGCATAGTTTGATCGATTAAATATGTACTAGCTGCAGTTTTTCTTCCCTCGTCCTGATTTAGAATAACAGATCAATAAAAAAAAAAAGAAACATGAAATAAATCAGACGATTAGTTATAATGAAAAGTATTCAAATAACAATTAAACTTAAAGTATAGTGAATTGATAAAAAAGATTGTCCTAGAAGAAAACAAAATGAGTTTAATTTAATAGCCAGTTGTTTGACCTAAATAACAAGTAATTTTTCTTTTTCTTGTTTTGGTACGTAGATTCGTAAATTTTATTCGTATTTGGGTCACGTACGATTCATTTAAAATTATCGTAGCTTATCATTTGAAATTTTAGAGATAATATCTTGATTCGATTCATTTCAATCACGATTGATCGTAAAAATACAAGTAGGTCTATCATAAATATAAAGATTTAACGATTATGTCACAGACTTTGACAGGATCAAAGGTGGAAGATGAAAACAAATGCGAATGAAACTTTGCAATCTGTGCAATCTTATCCATCAAATCACTATACTATACTTAGGATTAATGTACACCTATAATTCTACTTCTACAAAATTGTTAACCAAATCCGAATTTGGTCTACTGATTAATTTTCTTAATTAAGTAGTGTATCAGTATGATTTATTCTTTGTATGCGTGTGTATGCGTGTGTATATATGTGTGTGTGTGTGTCTTTCTCATCTCTTGTGTGTAAAAAGGTTGAAACTAAAAATAACTTTTCACGCGATTTTTTTTCTCATTCCTGACTTTGGTTATCATTCTGATACACCACGATATTTGTGTGTGATTTTTTGTTTAGTTTTCTCTTTGTTTCAGCGTATCTACCTTCGACAGAGTGTAGACGACAAAATAAAAAAAAAAAGAAAAAAGGAAGAAAGAAAGAAAAGGTGTGTTCTCACTTTTCTAACCAACCCCCCACCCCCAAAAAAGCATACAAAGTCTTATCGTTCAAAAATGAGAGGGTTCTGTTATTTTGCTATCGCGTCGAAACAAGAGAGGATCGGATTGATAATATACGCATTATGTTTTAAAAGAAAGTAACGAAAGAATGAAAAGGAATGACGATGATAGAACGAACAAAAATAAAATAGAAAAGGAAAGGAAAAAAAAAAAAAGAAAAGAAAAATCATGGAATAGAAAATGGGAAAGAGGAAAGAAGAATTTAACCAAAAAAAAAAGAAAAATAGAAAACCAAAAACAAAGAAAAAAACAAATAGCTAGAAAGCTAGAGAAAAATATTGGATATGGAATCTGATATGCGGTATTTTCTTGTATAGAAAAAAAAAAAAAAAAAAAAAAAAATGATAACACTGCAATTTCTCTCGTCGCGTGACGAATACGACGACGATGAGAGGATGTACGTATTATCTAGGGTTTTTGTTGTTGTTGTTGTTGTTGTTTTGATTGTTTATTTTTCTTTTCTCTTCTAGATTTTCAAGAGTATTGTTTCTACGATGCATTATGATGTGCGCGTTTGCAAATGAGGCTTCTTGTTTTTTTTTGTTTTTTTTTTTTTATTTATGTCTCTTTCAGTGTGACATTTCAAAATTTACGGTTTTGCGAATGACATTTTTAAAGTATCTATCAATCCATTCATCGTTATAGTGAATTTCTATTATCACAGATTCGATTAATCAATATATTTAATGCATAACCCTTGATGAACATTATATTGTATAAAAAAGAAAAAGAAAAGTGAAGAGAATATTAGAAATATACCGAAGTAAATTTGATTGAAGCAATATCATCGATCAATCATCCAATAGCAAATGTGCATGCACGTCTGAGATAAAAAAAAAAAAAAAAAGAAAAAAAAAGGAATATAAAACAGATTACTACTTTGAAGTTACATTAGTTTAGTACGTTCGTGTTAAAAAGAAAACGAAAATACTTTACTACTACCAACATTAAGCATCGCGAGAAAAAGTTTTTTTCCCTTCCTCCTCCCTCCTTCCCTCCCTCCCCCCACAATACTGTAAACGAGAATTTAGTTTGCGAGTACTACTAGAAAAAAAAAAGAAAAGAAAAAAAAAAGTACAAATGGGGAACAGGGGGGTTTGGTAAAGGGGGTTGGAAAGGAAAATGCATGGATAAGAAAATAGTAAAAACGAAACGAAACTAAACGCAACTAAACGAATGCAGATATTTCAAAGGAAACGCATAAAATAAGCTAAAGGGAAATTAAAAAAAGAAAGGGTGAGGGTGAGGGTGAGGGTTGAGGGGGGGGGGTTGGTAAGGAAAAGAAAAAGTGTTAACAGAACTCAAACCTACCCTCCGTTATTACTTGTTACTAAGAACATATTGACTGATGGCACTGACCACGTAATCATTAGCGTCGAAGTTAACGTCGCTCTTCTCATCGGACACGGAACTTAATTCGCCGGTCATGGTGTCCCCGTTGACGGTAGATGGTGCATACATATCAGCTGTCTGGGACTTGTTTAATCCTGTCAAAAGAGTTTAACACCCGTTTAGTTCAAGTATAACAAGATAGTTATAGTTGGTTGATTGGTTGGTTGGTTGGTTGGTTGGTTACTTTGGTTAGATTATACAATGGGTTTTTGTTTGTTTGTATTCATATCACAATTTTCAGACAGTATTTCTCAAATAACTTTTGATACAGTATATTGTTGAACAAATGGAATCTTGCAATTGATCATGGAACTGATCATTTATTTAATGTAATTTTAAAAGAAAAATTAAAAGAAATAGAGAAATAAGTCCAATTAATATTCAATTATAATCTTATAATATAATTATATTATATTATTATATAATAATATATAATATAATAAAAATATATAGATATATTTTATATCTATTATTATATTATAATTATTATATAAAATATTATTTATATATATATAATTATTTTTTTTTTCATTTTGTTTGAAGTCTTCGCAAATAGTATAAATATTCTGTTGTTGATATTGTTTGTCTTGTTCTTCGTTTAATTTCGTCTAAGTCCATATCAACTTACGAGCTTTATTTCGTTTTCGTACAATGTACCACAACATGATGAAGACATTAACGATAAAAAAGATGACGGAAGTAGCTGCGAACGTATAGATATAATTCATTGGAAAATCCCCTCTTTCCAAGAGGACGTCTGGCAGGTTTTCCACGTTATTGGGTCCTATGAGATAATCAGAAAAAAAAAAAAGAATTTTCTTTAATCATGATATTTACCAGAACGCTGTGCCTTCTTTTTCGACTTTAATGTAGCAAGGACAATGGGCGTGGCAATGAGGAGACAAGCGGATGCAGAAACAGTGATGATTATCACGATGATGTACGAGGAATTAATCTCACTTGATGTCAACTCGGTGGGTGGCGCCTCGCCTGTAACCCAAGCCAATGCCCCGTCACCCCTTTTGTTATTCATGCAATATGATTATGTGTACATGTGTGTGTGTGTGTGTGTGCCTATTTTGTTAGTTTTCTCTCTCTCTTTCATATTTCCAAATTTCATTTCGTTTTCTTACTGTTATCCTAGTTCTTCCCCCCCATCCCTTAAGGCACTTTGTATTTCTTGTTTTTGTTGTTAATTTAATTAACAAAGCGATTATTTTATATTAGAAGCAAGAGTTAATAATTGTTTGTTAATATTTTGTTCTTCTTCTTCTTCTTATGACTATCCTTCTAATTATTATGAGTTTTTGTTGTTGTTATTGTTGTTGTTGTTAATTTATTTTAATAATCCAATTTATTTTGTATTAATTTGTAGTGTTAATTTTGTCGGAAGATAGGAAAATTAAACGCATTACCGATTATTGTAATTATTGATAAATTTGATAATGCATATTGATATCACGTTATTCAGTATGAATGATTGATCGTTCCCACCCCTAATATGCATTAAATGTATGCATAGAGACACATACGAACATATATGTAATCTTTCATGAAATATTTTCCATGATCTATGAATCGTAAATGTGAACATGTACGAATGAATATATATGTATATATATATATATTATTGTAGCACGTAATATCTACGTTTAATGACAAGCGTATTTCACAAATGAAGCCTCTATATCTAATCTAATTGACGCATACTGGCCCGTTATGGTTTGACACGTAAAGCAGTTATAGCTAACGATGCGTTAATAAAGATGCGTTAATCATATCTATCAAATACATAACCAATTATATATATATGTATATAATGATATTAATATTATATATATTGATTAAAACATATATTTTTATTATTTGTTATATAATTATATTTGTGTGTAATATATTTAATAGTATATATATATATAAATTATATATAAATTATATTTTTAATAATATAAATTATTAAATTGTATTAATTAATTATCAAAATATATAAGTTTTATGATATAATATTAATAAATTATATATTAGATCGTCACGCAAAATTATCTTACTTTTTTTCTCAGTCAAATTTACAATTATAATATTAAATTATTTTATATTTGTTTTATGTATCTGTACTGTCCAAAAATTATTCTTTATATTATTCTATCAAAAAAAGAAACTTTTTTTAGGACGATCCAATATATTCTATGTATACATATATATAATTTTGTATTGATTAAAAATTATGATGACAAATAAATCGATTAAATAAAAAAATAAGCAGGAATGTGTAAATAATTCATCAAAATAAGAAGCATTTTGTCGATGATCATTATACTTACGTAGTGTTTGAACTTTAACGATGTCTGGCAAGAAACCACTGTCACCCTTTTCATTAATTGCTTTAATACTAAACACATAATATGTTCCAAGTTGAAGACCGGTTATTGTAGCTTTATATTCGCCAGGTGAAACGTCTAAATATCTATAACGATTTTCATAATCCAATGCTTGTCTCCATCTAATTTGATGAGACGTTGGTAAACCACCATCGAATCCTCTTTTCCAGACTAATGTTACAGAATCGTGAGTCATGTTGCAAGCTTCTAAATCGAGAGGTTTGTCTGGTGGTGATGTTACATCCAAATGGATGACGTCGAGTGAATGACCCATCTTATTTTCAGCACGACACTCGTATTTACCATAATCGGTAGCTCTTACGTTGATTATCGTCAATGTTGACTCTGATATTAATTCGGATAACTACAAAAAAATAAAAAAAAAATAATAATAATTATTAAGAAAATTATATATAATATAATGTTATATTTATTATAAAACACACATGAAACATTAAAAATATAATTTTAAATGATTTTTGTTGGATTTTTCATTCAAGTCATTGACGTATATTAAATAAAAATATTTATGTTTAACCATAGGTGGTAAACGTAGCACGAAACAAAATGTGTTAATTATTTATACAAAATTATTATTTATTATATTTGTTATCACTTACGTCGCTATGGGTGATGCTATATTTGTTTTCAGTCGCGTTAGGTAATAAAGATCTTCCATTAAAAATCCATGTAAAACGTGGCAAAGGTGATCCTCGTGCTTTACAATAAAGTGGCGCACTTATTCCTTTATTTGCAGCTGCTTTTCTAGTTAACGGTGTATTCATCATTTCTGGTGCAACTGTTAAATAAATAAAAAAGAAAAAGCAAATAAATATTTAGATAAAAGTAGATAGTTTGTTTATTTGTTGTTGTAACAAACTTAATAATGATTTGATTAACTTACAATTAGTGATGAATAAAATTGGTTTGGAAGTTGCATTGCCAATTCCATTGTTAACTTTGCATCGATATTCACCAACATCTTCCTTTTCTGGATGTTCGATATGAAGATAAGAAGTTTTGTTAGCGAATGACGTCGAATATCTTCCTGGTAATTCAGCATTGGAACCAACTTTTTGCCAAGTCACGAATTCATCTCCGATAGGGCTACCGTCAACCTCGCAAAATAATTTAGCTTCAATTCCAGGTTGATATATCGTACCAGAAATTGACGTTTGTATAATCCTGGCCGGATCTAATGTAAAACACACACATTAACAGAACATAAATAATAAATAGATAAATTAAGTTTTAGAACAAATGGTTGAATAAAAGATATTCGTAAGGATGTCGATATAAAAAGATATGGGAATTCATATAAAAAAAAAAAAAAAAAAAAATGAGAAGATTTACTCACATTGTACAGTCAAATTGAGTGGATAAAAGGTAGTCCCTTCTTCGTTGATAGCTTCGCACGTGTAAGTTCCAGCATCGTAACGTTCCAATTTGGTGATATTCAGGGTTGGTCCACGAGCAGTTATTCTTTTGCCAATACTACTCAAAGGCAAGCCGTCCCTTGTCCATGTGTAAGTTACCGTATTAGGATTTCCAGTTGCTGAGACGGATATTACGAAGGGTTCACCTTCCATACCCATTAGTTCGTAAGGTTCCAACGTTGAGAATATTGGCTTGTCTACAACATCAATTTACCCCTCCCATACTAATGTGTAACCGTATCATCTCGTGGGGAAAATCGATTGGGGATTTCTATAGTCGATTTTTCGAGGTAGAATGAAGTTTTATTTTAAAAGAAAAATAAAATTGACAACACTTTTACACACGGTCCGTTTGATTTTATTAGTTTTCGAAAGTTTACTGCAACGTGTGGTTGGGGCACCTAGTTTCGTGCTAAATTTGACACTGAATTTTTTTATATGTGTATATATATGTACTTACATAGAACATGAAGTGTTATAGCATCGTGTATCGATCTTTCCATTTGAGCGTTTCTTGCTTGACAGGTGTACACCTCGAGGTTCATGTCTTCCGTTAAATCCAAAGCCAATTCGACGTAGGAAAGAAAACCACCGTGTAAACCTGCTTTAGTACCATTTTTCGTCGAGGGTACCGATATACCACCTTTCCACCATGACATCTCTGCTGCTGGATTGCTGCTACTTGATTCGCAAATAATACGACCTTCCTGACCTGCATGAAAATCCTGTGGTTCTCGCGTGATCTTCACTTTCTCGGGTGGAACTACGATAAATGGACGATAAATAAATAAATAAATAAATAAATAAATTGTTATTGCAAATTGAAAGTAGAAGAAGATATTTGTTTCTGATAGTATGGTTTACAGAAGAATTTTCTCATATTAGGGTGAAACAAAAGTTCGTGAGTTGATTGCATTACAAACTGCACGATGGATTTTGAAAATTGAAAACACACGAACTTTTGTTTCACTTAAATGTATGTAATACGTACAATTGACTCTTAATATAAGAGTTTTCATCAATGGTATTTCCGTGGCAGAATTTGTTGCTTCGCATCTAACGTGTGCATTGTTATCCGATGCATTAACGAGAATCAATAGTTCACTGGAAACTGCTTGATCTCTCGTTCTAGAAGTACCAGGAATCTGAAGAAATAAATTAGAAGATAAACAAAAAAAAAGAATTAATAAAAAGTATAATATAAAAAAAAAAAAGAAAAATAATCATCTTTTAAAATAAAAAGAACAGATCGAATCTTTTCTATTTAATAATAATAATTTAATAATAATCTTTTCTATAGCATATTATACCTTTTTATCGTTTTTATACCACGTCAGAGTTGCCAGTGGATTACCAGCTGTGGCTGTGCACTGAAGTCTTAATACCGTTCCAGCATCTATAGTTGTACCCTCTTCATAACCAGTGACGAAGAGGTTCGAGGGTGGATCTAGAACAAAGTGTGCGAATGTATATGGCTATGTGTGTGTGTGTGTGTATGTTACCGGCTTTAATCTTCATTCTCTTTGCGTTTGGATCAAAAAGCGTTGCCGTAATACGTAGTGCAACAGCAACAGCAGCACTAGCTACGTGTGCACCACCATTCCTATACTAGTTCCCTGTATTGTCTCGGCAAAATGACGTAGCACCTCGTGAAAATTTTCAAAGCTATGTGTATATGTATTCAGGAATATTATATTCTATATTAAAAAGCTCATTATTCATTTCACAACTAACGAAGCTATCAAAAGCTGTATTCTTTTCATAGAGACGATGATCATGATGATGATAACTATACTGTCTATCTATTTGAACTTCTTCTTATATTTATTTCAGATTAAATGTAGATACGACTAAAAGATAATCCTTTGGGGAACAGTGTCCCACCTTTCTGATGCACTCGAAATATTGCAATAGTTGCATACGTATTGGCTTATAATTCATCTTATTTACTTAAAACAATTGGTAATATCTTCAAATGTAATTATAATTGTTACTCATTTTATTTTTTATATTTTTACATTAATACCTTTATTAATAAAAATATATCAATTTTGTTTTATTTAAAATTCAAACGTAGGACTATTTTATTATTTCAAATCCTGTATCACAAAGAGTTAAAGTTTTAATAGCAACTGTTCGAGAACACTTTGAACAAGCCAATGGTATATTTCGTAAAATATTGACGGTGTTTCTCCTCATCACCCTTTCCTAACATTTGGCAATAGTGTGTTACGGTCAGACGAAGAGAGAAAGGTCGGACATGCGTGGCTCTTGCCAACTAACCAACCAGAGACCAGAGAGAGAGAGAGAGAGAGAGAGAGTACCACCCAACAACACGGCGTTGTCTCGGAACGAGAATAATTTGCTCAAACAGCAGAATTCTGAATTAGGAAGTACGATCGCCAATTTCTCTATCTCTCGCTCTCTCTCTCACTCTATATATATATATATATATATGTCTATCCTAACATTCTAACCAAGAAGATTGATTTACCAAAACCGAAGGTAGGAATTTGCATCAGAAACTACACGAAGGACGATAATGCACTCTGTTGCATCGTGAGGGTTGTATCGTGTATCCGTTGAAGAGGACAGAATCGTTAGGATGATTTACTTAATATAGTTGAAACTATGTAAAGGAACGAATAAAGGATGATTGTGTATACCCTAAGGGTGAATTTTCTTTGTCATTTCAACGTTCTCGAATAGTATTAATGGATTAACGATCGGATCAAGTAAAAATAACTCGAAGAGGGTGAGTGGGGATTCTAATGGGTTGACGAATTGATCGTTTGCGAGTTCATCCAACGAAAATTTCATTATAGTTAGATATATATATATATATAGTATATTATTACTCACAGATGACGTTGATAGTATGTGTGCCAACCACATTCTCAGCAAGTTTAGCATTCGACGCGTGGCAGATAACAACGATGCTTCTACTCTTGTGATTTATACTGAAAGTCACATTCGAAGTTGTGATCCAACCACCCTGAGACGCTGGTTCCGTTTTCGACGTGCTATTCTCAAAGTTCCGACCGTCAACCGACCACTTTATATCCGCTGGTGGGTTAGAGTTCTCTGTTGTACAAGTAATCACAACTTGTTCACCTGCCTTTGCTTCGGTAGGTCCGGTGATTATCACACCGGCTGGTACGACTAAAAAAAAATATTATTTTTTCTTTTATATTCATCTTCTTCTAGTGTTACTTTTTTTAAATTTTATTTTATTCGATTTTTATCTCTCTATATATTCTATTATTAATAAGATTATTAATATTATTATTAAAATATATTTATATATTATATTAGATGTTTTCAAATGTTTTTATATTAGGATTTTTTTTTGAATGAATGAAAAAGTTAAAGTAAAGGTGATTTGTCAAAAGTGTTAAATGTTTAAAAAAAGAAAAGTTGTGTCGACTTTTAAATCAAAATATCTTCTCTACTCGAAGTAATTTTATTCAGCGCACCCCCTAATACGATTTAAATAATTGACGTTGATAATTAAGATGACGTTAATGAGATAAAATATTCTTTGCATCGTTGAAGTATAGTTTAATATGACACAAGATAAAATGTCTTTCCCCTTTTAATACTTACAAAGTACAGTTAGGTCAACGTGCACTTTCATGGGTTCAACACTCATGATATTGGACACCTCGCATCTGTATCGTGCCTTGTCATCTTGTGCCATGGCCTTGAAAGACAGAACACTCTCAGATAGGCTTCCTTCTGAATTATACTTGGTAGTGACTTGTTTGTTATTTCTAAACCAAACGATTTGGGCCGGTGGATTACCACCTCGCGATCGACAGGTGAGCTCCACTTGTTGATCACGTTGTACAGTTTCACCCTCGGTGTAACCCTCGATGTACGGTATACCTGGTGGATCTGTCAAAATTCATTATTTTTATTTTCCAAATCTATATCCGATTAAATTTGCTATTCAATTTCGTAAAGGAATCATATTAACCATATTTTTATTACAATTTGCAATTAATTCTAATATCTGTGTATTTATTAGAAATTAAATAATATATCAAAGTTTTTATATATTTGAAATTTTATATATTAATAATTAGATTCGTAAAGTTTTATAATTAGAAAAAGAATATAATGGAATTTAAGAAAATTATTGAAAAACTCATACACACCCCCTGTGTAATATTACGAAATAAATGTAATAAAATACGTAATATAAATTCACAAATAATGAAATAAAAATAATATAACTTACTATAGAACATTGTCATATTGAAATATAAATTTCTACGATGTTATCAATTACGATCGATCCAATTTATCTTTCCGATTAATGTTCGTGCATGTTAGATATTCGATGGGTCCTTTACTTACAGAAAACGGAGAGTTTGATGGTCGCCCGCATAGGACGATTAATGGGAATTGCTGGATGATTGGCTTCGCAGGTATAATCCATCTCATCATCGTCGGCAGTGGGGACTATAGTGATAGATCCGTGGGTATCGTATTTGAGAAGTTTCTTCGTAGTTTCACCAGGCTTCAACATCTCCTTGTCTGAAACAAGCATTATCGATGTGAATGAAGTAACATGCTTTGTCTTAATATTTTCTTAAGTATGCTTGTTTCCTTAGTAAGTAATTACCTAGTTAATTACTTATCTCTATATACATATATATATATATATAATAACTATACTACATTTAACTAACTCCTTTTGTTTGATTTTACACTTTAGTAAATTAATACGATCATTAAGATTTGAACTATTATTAATAAATCTTAAATAATATATTTTATAATATTTTATTAAAAGAATATAAATTATAAGAATAACAATTATTATATTATATTTTAAAATATATTATAATTATTAGTGTTACTAATTATACTGTTACAAAAGTATATTCCTAATTTAATTATATTTACTTAAAATAATTATAATATTTATATAAAAAATAATTAGATATTTTTTTATTTTATTAATATAATATATTTTAATTTATATATTATTAATTATAAACATAATTATTTCAGGAAACATTAAAGCATTCGCTTTTGTCAAAATAAATTGACTTTCTCGTGCTTTAAATGATTCTCCATGATATAATTAATATTACTGAAGAAAACTCGTTAGATAATTTAAAGTAAGACCCCATCACCATATAACAAACCTCCCTCCTCATAGACAGACTGTTGATTCTTTTTTTTTTTTTTCTTCTTGATAGGATACAATACGTATGTATGTATATGTATGTGTGTATATAATATGTATGGTTGTTCTGGCTCACCGTTAACCAAAGCACGTAGTACATACTACGAGAAACGAGCATGGAATGTTTTAAACGGCGTTAATTCTAAAATACATCGATGTTTGTTCCGTGATTGCATTGCCCTGCCCGATATCCCACCGTTATCTCGTTTTAATCGAAGGTGCGCGCGAGCGGAATAATCGATACTTTCGGATGATCGAACGGTCTCTTTCTCTCTCTCTCTCTCTCTCTCTCTCTTTCTCTCGCAACTAGAAGGAAAATTCAATTAAGCTGCTGACGTTTCTTTCATTTTTCGTTATATACGAATTTCGTATCGGTAACGCGAAATGAGAAAATGTGACGAATGCGTTTTGAATTAATTTTCCTACCTTTTATTTTATTTTTTTATTTTTTGTTTTATTTTATTATTTTTCTATTTTAAATTCAAATCAACGCTTTTACCGACTTTTCACGTGCATTATCATTATTATTATTATTATTATAATTATAATAATTATTATTTATGTACATACATACGTGTTGTTTTGAGCTTGCATATATTCTGAGTACATTTTTAAACAATTTACAATTTATGTTATCAAGTTTTCTTTTCTTTTTTTTTTTTTTTAATTTGCACATATTTTCTTGACGATCAATGTAGTTTCGTATTAACTTTTAAGATGATACACATCAAAAGGTAAAGGTGTGTTATTTAAAAATGTTCAAAGTTACGAATAACTTAGAGTAGTTGATACACATCAAATATTTAAAAAACACTACTTTATATATAAATAATTAGATCATGAATTAGATAAAATTTATTTAAATTGTATATTAAAATAATAGAAACTTACCACCTTCGATTGATATTGGTATGATATTAGTATCACCACCTTTGATTTGTACATTTCCACGATACCAAACTATGGAAGCTGCAGGTTTGGCAGATCTCACAACGCATTCCAAACGAGTTGATTCGCCAACTTTCACTTCGATTTTGTTTTTACTCGAATGACTTATACCGTCCAGATTTTTCTTGTATGGGTGACTACTGATCTCGACTTTTTGAGGTAATGCTGTAACAAAAAGAACAAAAATTACATCATAAATGGATGAATTTATTAATTGAATTTATTCAATATTAATTTGAATGAATTTTTGTGTTTTTTCCTTCAACTTAGTACATACGATAGTTATATATAGTTATATATTATTTTGTGTGTTGTTATAATTTACTAAATAGTTTAGAATTATATTTAGTCAACATTTTATAACAAAGCCACAGCAACGTCAACCTGAAGCATCCTTGTAAATACATGTTATAGAAATAAAATATAAATGTCATGGTATAAATAATATAAATGACAAATATAAATATATTAGTCAAACAATATTTTAAAGTTATATTACAGTTCACGTATAATTTAATTAATCTTTCATTCAGTAAATAGCAATATAAAATATGGTATCGTATATATATATATATATATATATATTACAATTTTATTTAATTGTTAAAATTTGTTAAAACAATTAAAATATCGAAATAATTGATTTAGCAGTCGATATTGCAGTCGATTGCAATGTCGAACACAATGCGATTCGGATTTGAAAATGCACTCGCACGTAAACTGTGGGCGTAGATTTTGACTGAGAAACGAGCATTGGCTTAATTCAATGCTATAGTGTATATTTATATGTATGTACATATACTTGACTATATGTATCAATGTCGTATGTATATGTATGTCTGTGTGTGTGTACGGTTTGAATAGTTTATTGCAATATCGGATGGTGCACCTATCTCGCATGTACTTTACGACTAGCTTTTGATCTCGGATATTCTGTTTCCGAAGCAATAAATCCTATCAATAATTTGTCATTTTTCTTTTCTTTCTTTTTTTTTTTTTTTTTTTTTACAGTAGAAAACTAGATAGATTAAAGATGACGTATATATATATTACGTGTAGTATATAAAGCGTATTTCTCGTTTAATCTAAATTGATGATCAACGTAGAATTATGAACTATGTTCAAAGAAAAGCACTCGTTCAAATCCGATTTAACGATTCGAAGTGGAATTAATGATGGCAATCTTTCTTTCTTTCTTTCTTTCTATTCTTTTTCTTATTTTATATCGACGTAATATTTCTGTCTATGAAAAACTATAGTATATTGTTAAAAAAAAAAAATAATATTATTAGACAGTATCGACAAGAAAACGTATGACGTAAAATTGAATTGTGATACAGTGCTATCTATTGAAAATTTAGAGTATCTAAAAACTTTGTGATAACCTCTAAATATAATAAATTCTTAAATTAGCAATTAAAAAAAATAAAAATAATTACGATAAAAATTATCCTTTATCCTAAGTTGATAAAAATCACACAAAATAACAAAAATGTCATTAAAAACGGTTCAGTAGTTTCAAAGTTTATTGTAAATCAACAACGTGACATATTAAATTGTTATATTAAAGATATATCAAATAAATAAATATATAAATATAAATAATCTATTTTCTTTAAATCTACAAACCAAAAGTTTAAAAGTTAACAGTTGATAGTGCTAATAAGAGTAGTTCGAGTTAACCAAAAGCGATTTGCAATTTGATAAATGTTTGGTCCGGAACTTCTAAAGAACCCCAGCATCAATTCCTTTGACCTTTCCGATCAATATTCAAGCTTCTCGATGACATCTACGTAATAGTAGTTTTAGTTGCACATACGTGTGCTCTTCTATACTATATGCATCTATCTATCCTATCAATGTATAAGTTTGTGAGTATGTTTTAGTGAAGCCAGCATTCACCTATGTGAATGCATATACGAGTTCGGCCGGTCTGTATGTCAAGCACAAACAAGTTCAGAGAAGAGCGACCTTTGACCCTAATTTCCTCTTTACCCTCCCATTCGCTTAACCACAAGGCGTCCATTGCGTGTCACTCGAACAGAGAATACCCGATTTTCCTGCGTTAATTTTTCATCTTTGACACGAATTCATGAGAAATGTTCTTTTGCTTCAAAGAACAGACCCACAACACCCACACACATACCTACAACTTTTTATTTTGTTTTATTCATATTTTATAACTATTAACTTTTTAATTTTTAATCCCGACGATATATTGAATATTAAATAAGGGATCTTTATTAATTATTCCAACGGATACTTTTAACCTTTTACTATACCCTTTTTTTTTGCAGATTACAGGGCTTTACATTATTTTATTTTATCGAATATAATTGAAATTTTTTTCCTTTGTATTATTCGATGTTTTTTTTTTTTTTTGCCAAACGTATTACATATTTTAAATGTATAATTCGTTGAATTTAATTATTCCTTTTTTGTTTTGTTTTTTGTTTTATAAAAGGTGAAACGGAAAATTGTATTATATAAGTGATTAACGATACGTATACGATGTAAATATTGTATTAGCAAATAATATCGAAATATCACGTTCTCCTGATGCTTTATGTTAAGCTAGTTAATAATAAAAATACACATGAGATAAATGACAGAATGTTGATTGAATAAATATTAAATGATAATAATAACAAGAAGTAAAAAGAAGACACTAAATATTAAACAAAGAATTGTTGGTACTAATAAGAAACAAACGCGTAACGAATAAAATAATCTTTATTTAAGTATTCTGTTTTGTTTATGTAAAAAAGCAACATAATGCATCAACATTTAATACGATGATGATTCTAAATATATTTTCTTCCTTGGATCATAAAAGTTCGTGCTTTTTTAAATTTCATACAAAAGTCATTTTATTGAGCAATAAATTCACAAACTTTTAATTAACCCTAATAATAATAAACAAGAACGAATAGAAATTCATCAATCGACATGAAAATCAAATGGACCAAGAAAGAAATGAAATAAAAAGATAGAAGAAGTTGAATGATGGTTGGGGTTGATGATTGGTATGAAAGGGTTGGGTGGTATGAAGGAAATAAGAGAAAAACAAGTACGTATAGTAAATCCCATTGCTTATTTCGGCGCCAGTCAAATGTCATTTATTTATTTTTTTTTTTTTGGGGTGATAGTAGTAGACAAGGTTAGGTGAATTTAGTAGAAGATGGTTTGGAAGGCGAAAGGGAGTGGTTTCTAACAAACAGCATCCATGTGATGCTGATGCTTCTGCTGCTGCTGTTGCTACGAGCTAGTCTCTTGTCAACCAAATTAACTAGACCCACTACCGTTGCAAGCTATACTGAAGGATAACGATGCTAACGTCCGAGTTCTCTCTCTCTCTCTCTCTCTCTCTCTCATTTTGCTTTACCTTGCTTTCGACGTGCAAGTATGTGTACGTGTGTCTATGAGAGAGTAAGGATAGATAGAGAAAGGTAGTAGTACGTGTATTCCAAACGAAAATGTCATCGTGATTGTTAAACTCGCTCTGCTGAGTTTTCAAACAGTTAAATCCACCTTTTACGTTTTTCCTTTGGATTTCTTAATGGTTTAGGGGATTAAAGTTCAGAGATGATCAAATGTCAAATTATCTCAAAATGATGTTGAAAGAAATTTTACCCACCACTCTCTACCATTCTTAACAATCCTCATAGAAATATACTGTATTGTCATGTGAATTATTTTTTAATTAGATATTGTGTACTTTTGTTATTCTAAAATTGTGTTTAATGCATTTTATAATTTGTAGTTATTATTATTACAGATACATAAATCAAGATACTAAAAAAAAAAAGATTCAACAAAATGAGAATTGAAGAAGATCATCGTGGGAGAAGAAAAAAAAGCAAAATGAAGTTCTACTTTATCTACTTGAACGACTTAGAAAATAATCGACGAGGTCAAAGTTCGATAGGATCGATATCACCCGGAAGAAAATTACATCGTAAAAGGGTGGCTCGTAAAAATTAATCGAATATCCTTTTCGTTCCTTTCAAGTTTTTCTTCTTATTTTAATAAAAACTGCAACTTCTCTTGTTTGTTTTTTTTTTTTTTTTTTTTAGAAGTAAATACATTACTATATATATCACTACGTATATGTAGTATATTTTTTTATATATTCATAGAATAATATAATATATTATACGTGAGCATAAAATGCACGCATATATAAATACACATATAAGTATTATATACATACGTGAGTATTCGTACGTGTAATGTGTGCAACCCCCCATCCACCCAGCTTGCTAAAATGCGTCTGCCGTTAAAGAAAACTGTGTTCATGCAAATCGACGCGTGGCTTTGAAAGCTTATGCGAACTTACACGACTCGTGTATAAAAAAAAAAGCACAGGTATTTACTTCTATTTATGCTTTTGCGAGAATTTTTTTCGAGACAGAAAAAGAGAGAGAGAAATTCTTTTAGATTTTTTTATTTGTCTCTTTTTCTCTTTTTCAAAAACGTATTCATATATGACATACTTATACAGAAACGTACAACCAGTATATATATGTAATATTGTATAATATTTTATAATATATATTTTACTAGGGGTGCTCCGC